TTTTTTTTTTTTTTGCTAATCTGTCGATTACTCGAGAAATCGACAAGATCTAGTAAAACGTCATATCTCGGTGGTTAACTGTAATAGCAGCCGCAACAGAAGAACTACGTAAACTTTTTTCTCACCTTTCAGAACAATTGAAAAGACAAATAGTCTACAATGTTCTGTCCTGTTAGTAAAGGTTTTTATGTGTTTGTGATTGTTACAGTGGTAATAGAAATGACAAAAATGATTCATGTGCGGTAAGAGCAAATAAAACTGAAATGCAATCTGAAGGGAAGTTTTTATGTGCACATTTTTTATACGAATAATATATGCAGAAAGTGTTGGAGGAAGGAGAAAAGAGAAGAAGCAAAGAAGCACATAGTTGTTAGCAATTCAGTTTTCGACTTTTTTTTAGTTGCATAGTAAATGACAAAAAAAGGCTGTTTTTTTCTTTCTTCTTTTACTTGATATAAACGAAGGACATATAATAACTTTTCGTTTGCTAGAGGGTAACCAAACTTTGTATTCAACATCTTCTACGCTGTTTTGTCTGACTCATATCTATGATAACAGTTGAAAATTGGTATACAGATGCTGTCCAGGCGACAGCGCTGTTTGATTTTATCAAGTGTTTACTAGCACTAAAATGGTTTTAGTCAGAATTATTTACTTGTCAAATGAACATTTTGTTCACCTTTTTATACTCCTATAAAACCATTTTGTTTACTTGGATACCTTTTAGAGAGACATTTCTCATTGCTTTGATTCTCATACAGCAATTGCAGGGGTCGGACAGGCCAAAAAGAGAACAATGAAGAAAGAAATGGATAGTGGAGGAGAACTTAGTCATAGCGATACAAAAATAGTAGTCAAAGTATAGCTATTTTTTGAGTTTTCTCAGCATATAAATCTTTCTAAAAATTTAAAAGCGTTAATTTTTGTTTAGCAGTGTAGTTCTGGGTATTATAGAGAACGAGTACCGATACTATGGTCAAAAGCACTAAAATTCATTTTTGAGTAGAAGACAACGTAACTTGCCGTAAGATGATGAAAACAGTGTTAAAATTTGGCAAAAATGATCTCACGACTTTTGTAATCTGCAATAGCCATTTGCACAACGTTAGGGATTTTTATTTTAAAACGGAACAATAGTTCATTTAATTCCAGTTGCACCTAACACCACTTGTTGGTCAAAACTGAATTGTTAGACTGACTGTTCAAACTACATAACTAAACAGTTTTTTTTGCACCTTTGCATTACTAAGTTTCTTAAGGCCTTAAACTGAAAATTAGTAGTGGAGTGAATTATCTACCTTAACAAAGAGCAAATTAATATTTTGGGCAGCGTAAAATAGAATTATTGTTTTTATTTGCTTTTTATCAAGGCATTTTTGTCTCTTCAGACGTTTAGCTTATTATGTCTGTTTCAAATGTAGCAAAAATTTTTTTGTTTGCACAAAAATTTATAGATGCACAGTTTATATTTGATAGATTTTTGACGGGCATATTGTAATATTTTAAGCGTACTGGTCAATTTTTTGTTTGCTGCTCAATAGTACTGATATTATGCTTCAAATGTAATTGGCGACGTCAGCATACACAAAGTAAAGGAAGATCCAAAGTTCCATCTTTATATAGATTTCTGTAAGTTTCCTTCTGGGAGAGCTTCTTTTCGTTAATAAAACTTTGTTATTTTTATAGAGCTTTTTTTGCTTTCAAATTTTTTTTGAAAGACTATTAACAGTACCGGCGAAATTCTTTCGCTGCTATTTTACTGATTTCAAATAAGGAATAAGTAGATTAAATATAGAATTCGCTATCTATTTGACAATTATTATGTGGACTTAATTAGAAGTTAAAGTATTAAGAATATTTTTCTATACTTTGTTAGTACACCATTGATTATTCAGCTGACATCAATTTGCTATATTTCCTAGTCGTTATTCATCGATAGCGCATTGTTTGACAACAATTGTCCAAGAAGAAGTTAGGAGTATATGGTGGTAAGCTGTGTTTGAACAGTTCACATACACAAGCAAAGATGTATGGAAGTCTAGAAAAGTTTCAAAGAAGTTTATAAAAGGCCCATAACTTGAATTTGACAGCACTACAAAAGTTATGGTGTTCAGTGAGAAAAGAACAAGAAAACTCTAGCTTTTGGATGAAATTTCGTCGGTAAAGTCGTGGAGTGAAGCTTAGTCACTCATATAAGCATAATGCCATTTACATTCTCAGTTGTAACGTTTTTTGATGTTTTCACAACAGTATTCGCGATAATAGTTGGTACTATCAATTAAAACTTAAATGGCTGACTAGTCTTTACACTGCCGTGATAGAGGTTTCAGTGCGAGGTGTTTATGATACTTTTGATTTGTTGAATCGAAAGTTGCATCGTAGCGATTTTCGCTGTATACTTTGTCACTTTTTATCACTCGTTGTCAGTCGCTGTTGCTTCGCTATTGCTTTAGGTTTTCACAGATGGATAATATACCAGATCGTCCTTTAAATTTATCACTTCCATTTATACGACCGTCACCGGTATCTCGGCAACACAGCAACAGATCATACACCAGCGTTCATTCAGAAGACCTAGTGTTTACCACTTTTATTTGCTTCTTTCTTTTTAAAGTTTAGACACTGCAGCAATTTTATACATTTTTTCAATGTACATTTTTGTAGCTAAAAATTGAAATCATTTTATCGGTTAGAAGAGTTTGATTTTTTTTAGCAATTTAAATTGAATGCAGTAATTTTAATTTAATTGTTGTTGGAGATGTGAAAAGAGAAATAACAAGAAATGACTTTTTAAGCTATAAATGTACTTTGGCTAACAAGCTGACATTATTTGGTTTAGAACCAAGAAAACATCGGCACTACAGGTAGCGCAGTGTAGTCGTTGTCAGCAACAGTTTGGTGAGAATGTGCAATTTGTAACTACTGCTGCAGGTAGTTGGCACAAAGAATGTTTTCGGTAGGTAGATCAAAAGTTTGAACTATATATCAGAATCGGGTTTCTCATTATTCAATAGTGTCACAACACTGTTTTGGTAGTGTTTAGGTGTTTAGACAAGTCGGTATTTCCAGATGCGCACAGTGCTTTGAGCTACTTGCTGAGAATTTACACTATGAGGTTAACAAACGTTACTATTGTGAGTACGATTTTAAACAGTTGTATGCACCTACCTGCGTCCGATGTGGTATGTTTGAAACATTTGGGAAAAAGATCAAACTTGGTGCCAATTTTTATTGGAAAAGGAAGCGTTTTATTCATTGTTTTGGCTTCGTGCGTTAGTGATCTTCAAAAAGTTATATTTTAAAAATGGTAATCGTTTTTAGGTAAATATATCACTGGACGAGTAATTAAAGTTTCGATAGACAGTTGGCATCCCGAATGCTTACTGTGCGATCTTTGTCAAACTCCATTAGACTCAAAGGGAATTTGGCGATATGCTGGGAGGTTGTATTTTTTTGAGCCAATTTCTCTGCAGTTGGTCTGGTATCTAAATTTTTACTTAATTTAATTTCTTTAAAGGTTTGCTACGGAACTGTACTGAGTTCTGTTCACTTTTTGTAAAAAATTTTTGACCTTTTGAAGGGTTCTGTGTTCGAATTGCAAAAAGCAGATGAAAGAAGCTGGTGAAAAAATGTGTGCACGATGTAGGTTTAGTTTTCATGTATTTTTAAAGCGAATAAGTTTTATAATTTTTGTTGCATTTATTTGCTTATTTTGTGAGGCCAACTGGGAGTATATGAACAAGTTTTAAAACAAGTTTTTAAGGACTACCTTTCTGACTGTACTCTACTGCGCCTAGATTTTGAATCACTTTCGTTTGGAAATATACAATTTTCTGCTCCATACTTTAGATTTGTTATCTATATAAGTGTGAACAAACAGTTCATTTAAATGATTTGATGATCTACGTAAAATCGCAGCTTTTCATCTGTTATGTAACCGGAAGAAAAAAAAGGGTCCCATTAAAATTTTTCAATAAAAGAAGGCTGAAAATGATTTCAATAAGAATTAAATTGTTTCACTGTAGCCACAGAAGTCAATCCACAGAAAGCGAGTTCTTGAAATCGACTAGGTTAAGTGTTAGCTATTGAAAATAACTGAATAATTACTCGTTTACGGGAACATAGAGTTCTGGCTGCTAGCGATGTATCGCCAACTGCTCTTAATCATAATTTCTGTTTTAAGCGACTGAGAATGTGCAATGCTTCATAAGGGAGCGATTATAACACAAAGCTACTTTTTGATACTACGCTGTGGAGTATTTATTTCTCGTTTTCCACCGACGCTGTTTTCTTCGTGTAGCAGCCCAGATTTTTTTTTTTACTGTATCCCAGAGACCTTAGCTAATTTGCAGGACTATTGGTTCCATAAGGAGACAACAATGAAGAGGCAGGAAAAGGCATATATTGCGCAAAAAGATGTTTTTTAATTATCATGTTTTTTAAATCAGTTCTTTGCGTTTTTTATTTTCAGGCAAATTACGCATAGAGCCCGGCAAATCGTTCAGATATCAGCATGAGGACATTCACGGTTATCATTTAAATTGCACGAAATGCCAGTTAGTGCTACTCAAATTAAATAGGGTTTTTTTTTTGGCTGTACTATGGCAGACACATTCAGCTTTTCATTCTGCTTATTACCTCTGTTTTATTTCCTTTTTACAGCCTTTAGTGACCAAAAATAAGTGAAAGGTAAAATCAATCATCCACTACCCACAGAAGTTCCGCTCTTGTCTCTCTTAAATAGGAACTCTTTCTCATATTCTTGTTTAGCTTTCGTCTTAATTTGTCTGGTGAATTTGTTTTTTTACCTTAGTTTGATCCACTTTACGATGGTTCAATTTTGTTATTAAAAAACGTGCTGGAATACTTATAGTTACTTGGATTATCTAAAAGGGGAAGCCTTTCAGGGTAATAGTATGTGAAAATACTTCTTTAAAACAATTAACTAATTTGCTTAAAGAAGTGAAATACCCGAAATACTAAAGCATCTCATTGGTAGTCACCAGCTTTTACACATACTGTGTTCTCCACAAACGTTCTTCATACACTCATTGCCTGTCCATATCTCTCACTACTGCTTATAAAAGAGGGTAAAGCCGCCAATGCTCATTTAAACCGCTTATGTAACATGTTTTTTTACCAATAAGTTAAAAATCATGGCCAAATTTCAGAGAAGAGTTGGATGAAAATGCACGAGTTTTGGAAAACAAGCCTTACTGTTCCAAATGCTATGATCAACTGTGTCCGACCTGTGCCGCTTGTAAAAGGCCCATTGATAATGAAAGAAGTGTTATTGCAGTGAGAAGGCACTGGCATCTCGAGGTAAGTCAGAGTGTCAACCAGCAACTTTTAATTAATATAATTTCCTCTCCAGTTCCTTGCCATCTTATATGACTATATATGCACCTTTGCCATAACAGACAAGTCAACAAGATCACTGAAAATTCGCTCAGCAACCTGTGGTAGTTGAAAGAAGTTCATTTTGCTAATTTTCAAAAGACAAGAGATTCACCACCTTGCTTTTTCACCAGGAAGTTTATTGAATTAGTAAAGTGTTCACGAGATCACAGGTTTATTCCAAACGCCTGTGTGATTCGCTGGAGCCATTAGCGCCATTTCACGGAGAAGACAGTAAAATGGCTGTCATCAGCGGCTCTGAAGCCACTATAATTTTTGTATTGCACCTTTGAAAACCTTCTGTCGCCATGAAAATATAAGAAAACTTGAACGTTATTGTCAAAAAAATCTCTTCCTGTTACAGATATTAAGAATAATTTTTACAACTCGTTTGTAGCATTTCCGCTGCGCCAAGTGTGAGCGACCTCTCCATAGCAGCAAGTATATTGAAAAAAAGGATAAAGCTTATTGTGAAGATTGTTGTATAAAGGTAGGTTTATCTGAACGGACAAAAAACTCGACTCATGCAAATCGTACTACGTCTGATTATTTTAGAATTCGATAAACTAACAGTATTTGTGTCTTTTCAGTTCACTGACGCATGCTACAAATGTGGGTCGTGCCTTGTAAAACAGCATGTAACGTTATTTAAGAAAGGCTGGTGCACCGGATGTTACTCTTGTTCAGCGTGTGACCGAACCCTAACTCCCAAGTAATGTTACCCGTTCTTTTAGTTTCATTCCAAATATTTAGTAACTTGGTGCCTTAAAATAGCTGAATTAAAGTTGGAGTTTTTGGCTGCTGACGATACATGATGTCCACCGCCACAAAGCAACAGGCTCTCCAAATTTCAGAACTACTTGGATAAGCTTTAAGGAAAACTACGAGGAGTACAAATTGTGATGACTTGCTTAGCTTGAAGTTATTTATTTAGCGTAAGACCAGCAGCCGCCGGTTTTAGCTAGGGATGTACTTAACTGAACTGTTGGCCAACCGTGCATTAGTTTCGCTTCGCCACGCACAAATTTTTATTTCAGAGTGAAAAATTTTTTTGGCCTGATGGAAAGAAACTTCTTTGCGCTAAAGACTTGTAATATTTCTGCCTCTGGGTGCGAATAGGCAAAACAGTATTTCAATACCTCGTAACACCTAATTAACCAAACAGTAGACCTGACTTCTTCATCTGCTACACCGCTATAGAACTGGAAAAACAATGATCTGCTTGTTTCTGGAAATCTCTGCATCGCTGTCGCGCGTAGCTGTAGGAACTCCCCAGAAATCTCTGTTCAAGTAAGCATCCCAGCAGAAAACAAATCTTTTTCTTAGTTTAGCAATGCGTTAGCAAAATTAGCACCAGTTAAAGCAGCAAAGAGATTGGTCGGGGTCAAATACCCTGCCGTTAAACTGGTGCCATGCATCAGCAGGACACAACAAATTCGTAAGTCGACACTGCGGCTCCATGGTGCTGTTCAATATGGTTGAAGCTGTTTTATTCAAGAGATTTTTGGTTGCACAGTGGGATCAAACTAGTAAAGAGAGAGACATGAGGAAGGGGAGCAAGGCACCCGCTAACTTGAGGAGGAGGGGGGGTGCGACCAGTGAGAAGCTGCCAAGTTCATGCTCTACTATCTGTCATAGTTTAAACCCTTGAGTGAAGAGAGTTGCCTACTTCAAAATGCGATGAGTGTTCAGCATACCTGCGTCATCACCCCCTCTTCGGATGTCTACAGCCTCACACCTTTTGAATCCTCAAGATGCGAGACGAAGCTGCTGAAACACTTAGTACTGCATTTTTGATGCCAGACCAAGAGCGTACAAATTTATAACAATATGTCTGCCTGTATGCATTAAATAATTTAAGGTCCAAAGTGTTCGAACTCGATATGCGCCCGATTTGCAAGAAATGCTATGATCGTTTTCCAAAAAACCTGAAAGAGCGTTTAATGTCTCGGTAGTTGAACCTAAGTAGCTCTGTGAAGACCAGGTTTTCATAACCATGATTTACGCAGTTTCTTCTAAGACATGTTCCCAACAAATTTTGTAGAGCACCACTCTGTGGTTTATAAATTTTAAATGCCCATAAAATGACGAGTATTCATCGCCTAAATCACCACACTTACTAACCTCGTACTGCCACGAATAAAGTAACGCACTATGAAACTGAGAACAAATTCACTTTTGAAAGCAACATTAATAGCAACCTAATAAAAGACATGCAACGCCGAAGGGGCAAGAGCAGAACAACGGGCACAGATCAAAATGCATTATTCGCGGGTCACGCAGACCCAATAGATGATGCAATCAACAAGCACCTACGACAAGTTGGCATTGAAGAAGCGTATAACTTCAGTGACGAAATCTGCCTCCGGTTCAACTTCTTGAATTCGGTGAGTTGAGTCAGGATATTTAAGTATCCTAAAGTAATGCTGAAGTCCTTTTTCTCGCGGTCTACTAATAGGGAGAAAGAACATTTGCTGACACCCACCTATATGGCACATTCCTCGCCGCCAGATTACGAATAAACGGGCCATAGTGGCTCTTGACTCGTAAATCCTTTTCACCAATTAACAATAAATAGGGTGTCACAATATTCTGCACGTAAGCAATCGGGGAAATATTTCGCATTCTCCCGAGCTTTTCTGCATTTAACGGTTCAGCCCATTCTGGCATCCGGTTCTCGGCACAAGCTATCGCCCTAAAACACGGAAGTACTACTTGACTGGTCACTTCTTCTGGACTTAGTTCCCACGCAGAGTTCTAAAAGAGCGAAACTACTCACCAGTCAGGAATGTCGGATATTGCCCACATACCTGCAGATAAAGCAACTAGTACTGAGATCGATCAGATGTCAAGAAATTTCAAAACAGGAACGGAAAAAAAAAACAAACTTGCAATATCCAAAACTGGGTTCAAGGCAACGCAAGCTTTGTAGAAACCCTAAATTAAAACTGAACCGTAAAGGTTCGATTTCAAAAATAATGAAATAGCTCCTTAGAACGTATGTTACGAGTGGGTTAAAAATTTTACAAATCCGTATGCAAAATGAAATTCAACATTTAGATGGCCGAAAGCGCAGCAATGACAAATGTAACTCAAGGCTGAACCACCTAAAATAGACTAAAGGGTAAAAAAAAGTGATACCGGAAACCTTCCAACTAGGTGACTAACGATGAAACCACCATGGGAGCCTCCAAATAATACTACTCGACCTTTGTCTAGTACAGGGTATCTCGGCAAAACAGTCTCGACAGCAAACTACAAAGAGAAAGAATGAAGGTGAAAAGGGCACAAGGAACAAAAAAATAATAGTAATCCAGCCATCTCACATGCACGTCATTGACTTCCAAATCTCCACAGTGTCCAGGAAGGGACCGAACAAAGTCATCTCCGTAACCGAGCGAGCCATGGTAATTAACTTGTAAGATCGCATAACCAGAATTCAACATCATAACGTGATCTCGTCGTGGCCATCTGAATTCAATTTTTTGATAGTAGTGCAAAGGGTAGCAAAAAAATGTGAGTCTAAAATATTTGAAACTATTAAACGAAAGAAGGTCCGCGGAAATGCCTTTAACACCAACGATTACAAACGAAGACGAAAGGCAAAAAGATACGCCGCTATCGAGTGCCCGTGCGGGCCACCATGAGGAGCAACAACCAGTGGACAACTGTGAACATCTTTCGGGATGTACAAGATCCCTTCATACGAGTCTCCTACTACAAAATCTCAAAATCAGTATAAGCTGCGAAAGACCCGAATAACGAAGGGAGGACGCACTAACAATTTAGTAAGATCAATAGGAAAACGTGAAAAGAGCCGCGGCAACTACTAATATTAAAATTTGGAAACCCCGAACGTTAACAATGTTAAACTAGTTTCTCTTACTTAACCAAATTTCGAAAAAGCTCGAAATTCTACGAGAATCACTAGTAAAAGGTGCATTATGTGTACAAAAAAAGAATAAATCTTTGAAACGAACCATTACGCTCAAACTTTACAATTTCCCAGTTGAAATTACTTAACTTGCTCTTCTCTTCATAGTTAGAACCAGTATCTAGAGGTATCCAAATGATCTAAAAAAAAACATGCCGTTCAAAACAAATTGCAACTGCAAAGTAGCAACAAGTAAATAAAAAAATGGGAAATAAAGAAAAATTATTTGCACTGAACGCCTTTTAAAATTATCATTGGTTCATTTAAAAGGGAAGCTAATGACGTATACAAATGCTGCTAGAAGACACCACCTGCGACGACAGTACAGGCAATAAATGACACTACTTGAAGTATATCATAAGGGTCAAAAAAACAAAAGTAAAACCTGTTCTTCTTTCCCTGCCTCAGGCAAATGACCAAGTAATGCTAGGGGCGGTCGATTTGGGGCAGAACAGGAAGCGAGTACAAAATCATCGTAAACATCAAATAACGACCAACTCCCATGAAGTTGCTCTAAGAAAAAAACGTAGTCGTAATAAATATGATAATTATGATGAATTTGAATGGTGGTTAATTCCAAAGGTCAGGTTAGTAAAGTTCCCGGAGCTATTTATGCCCCAAGGAGGTACAAGAAAAAACCTGGCAAGTCTTAGTTTATAAATAGTGTAAATCATACGAGAAACTAACCGTTATTTGTAATTTTTTTGATCTCTCCGTTCTCGATGTTTACAACAACTAGTTCCTAAAAAGTTAACTCTTAATAACTCCAAGTTTTCTTAAGTGCTGCTCAATCTTATTTGTCCCTCAAAAGAAAAAGAACTAGTTAACGTTTATCCTATGCCCTTTTCGATCTAAATGCTGTCAATGCAGTTTTAAAAGTTCAAAATGGCTTTCATTTTCGCACGTAAAATTAATTGAGATGATTAATATCAAAAAATCTTCTATAAGTTATCTCAAAACCCAGTTTTCACTGAGACGTCGTTCAGTGTAAAACAGCATAAAGAACTGGCTTTTAAAAACAACACTCGGTGCTGAATGATTTCTCAGGGGGGAAGCGGTTCCAGCAAATAAGCCAAAAAGGCCCGAAGTTGAAACATCAGAGACTCTTTGGCTCTAAAGAATTGTGCACGCAACAGTATTTTTGAGTTCCCCAAAATCTATTTATTCTTTCGCTCAACAAAACTTTGCTCTGTTTGAACGACGTTTTACATCCTACACAAACAGTGAACGTTTACGCGCTAAAAGTTGAATTGCAACATCACTAAAACATGTTCAATTTTATATCGCCTATTAGTTGCTTTCCAGCCTCCTCTCAAAATAATAGAAGTTGTAAAAAAAAAAATCCACTGATAAAAGAAAGGTAAGAATAATCAGAAAAAGAATTTACTAGCTTTGCTCCCCAGCCAGTAGACAAAACAATACGCTTACTGTCATTACACCAACACTGATTACCCGTCTGCATAGTATAGAAACCAGGAAACGAGCTAGAATCTAAAAATATTTTCATTATAGAATATCTTCCATGCTCTTTTCAAAAATTACACACCAACTGCACAGTAAATATCTTCTTTTCAAGAGCACCGCAACTGTGCAAAAAATTATGTATTCATCTAGAACTTTAAAATCGCACATCATATTTTTCCCCAGCAATCTAAAGATTATTAAATATCAAAAAACGATACCCTTTGGGACCTTCACCACCGGCACCACGCATTTTGTTTCGAGACTAGGCCAACTACACTATAAAAATTAAAGGTTAAGTTGTCCTGCTAAGAGACAATGCTCTTGCAAAATTATAGACCGTCTCCAGAAAAAATAGCAGAGTTGCAGCTTAAGCAATATGAAGTAACATATTCCCACCCCCAAAAAATTTTTTTAGACGAAAATAAAAGAGATTAAGTAAAAAACCTAAAAACGGTCATGAAAATTAATAACTTACCGTGTACAGAGCAAAAGCAGCATTATGTGGTGCATCAACTGCTCGCTGAAAGTATATCAGCTTCTTTTTGTCTGGTGCAAAAGAGAAATTCTCGATTCCAATATCAGAGTCACTTAACTGATGCACGCTGGCGTCGTTGAACTTGTAGTAGAGTAACGTTCCTCTGAAAGTATTGCTTCGAACAAACGTACTCACTACACTAGCATTCTAGAAACTGATTTAAAACATCTGAATTTCATACTTTCGGTTGTTGCAAAAAATCTTTCCCAGTTTGAATGGTTTGGTTTTAATCCCATAAAAGACGATACCGTCGTCATCCGGAGAAAATATAGCCTGAAAACGACAACAAAGTTCTTTTTCACGAAAGAGACTAATTAAGTGTAGTAATCTTCATAGCTCACAGTTACAAACGATGAAGTGGATAACAGAGGAACATAGATGAGATTAAAATGATAAAATTTTTAACAACTACACACCCTCGAGGGTGATAAATCGCCGGGAATTCCATCAATTCGAGTCACACTGCCACTGAAAACATCAATTGTGAATAGCGCTGGCTGCCGTGCTTCGTCCTGTTCCTCACCCCAACTTTCAATATATTCATATTTTTGCCCCTTGAAGTACACCCATCAGAGTTTACTGAACAATCTATTGAAACCACGTAATGCAATATCGTCCAACACATTCTTGATCCCACTTTGAATTTGTCTCAGTTTACCAGTGAATTATTCAAAACTGTAAAAGAACAAGCGAATCAAAAACTCAAGCTTACAACATTAGAATCAATAATTTTTTCAACGTTATTCCAATCCAAATCAGCATCATAGATGTTCGCTGATTTCACATATTGCTCGGCTATATAAAGCAAAGTTCCTTCTCCATAGGACCATGATAATGTACTGAAGTCTCCTGAACTAATAAATTAAGAAATTTCATGAGCACCGTCAATGATACGACAAGTTGACAGGTACCTGACGTGTGAACAACGCCATGCTTCTTTGGAGAAGTCACTTCCTCACAGAGAACTTCCTGATGCTCTAGTAGGTCAAATATCTACAATTGAAAAGATTTAAGTATTAGTGGAGACAATTAAATGTGCATGCGCCAGTGTTAGAGAGTAGTGAAAAGAACAAAAAAAGCTTTGCAAGAGAAAAGACAACCTTGACATACTGCTTTTTTTCACTTCCATTTTTTATCGTGATTAAGTTGGCAACTTTTCCATTGCTCCTTGAGTACGATACATACTGTGGCCTATAAGAAACGGTCGTTGCATTCACAGCAAAGCTGCTAAAAGTGAATAAAGCTTACTCATTAATGCTGAGTGGTAACGAAGTAGTTGAGATGAGTTGATATAACTGAGTGTCTTCTGTTTTCGGGCCAACTACGCTAAGTCGTTCTGTTAAGATTGTCTTCTTCATCGTCAAGGCACGGCTTGACCAAATGCTAGCAATCTGTGAAGAACAAAAACATCGAGTTGAAAAAAATCTTGGAAGAGCCAAATGCAGCGCCCAAAATTTTTAGGAACACAGCAAAAACAGTTGAAAAAAGACATTAATTGAGCAAACTGACCTCTAGAAATCTATTTCTTTTCTTACGTATAATACGGCCACTGACTGGTAGGGGTACCTAAAAGCAGAGAACGTAACTATAGCGTTCAATTATGAAAAACATTGCTATTTTTGTAAACGATTGTAAAATATGCAAAAAGTCTTTCTCAAAGCATCCAAATCAGTAAAAGATAAAGAAAACTCTCTCACATAAATAATCTTTTCTTATATTACAAACCATTTGCTGAATCCAAACTTTGTTGCTGGTTAAAGAAATAACTTCTTTAAAAATTTACTTACTCTTGCGATGTCAAGGAAAAGATCCTTGAGCTTTTCCAAATCAGCAACTTTGCTATCCATTAGTCCAGTCGTTGTAGACCTCAAACTAAACCTTCGGAAACAACTTCGAATAAAACCAGTAAATTTTCCCACAATTACAATTTTATAAATCATTAATTAAACAATTAAATAAAAATAAATAAAGAAAAGAGAGAATAAGAACAAGGACATAAAAGACATGTTACCGACCAGTGTTAACTAAAGGCATGAGAAGTTCAGGCAAAAAGATCTTTACACATACTTGTTCGAAAAAGACTTGTCACCACGCAAGTGGGATCTATAAACACGTCCTCATTTGCTCAACCACACACTTTAAACATACAGAGCTTAACAGTCACCTAGAACCTTTGAAAAGCAACGTTATAAATGCAAGACTTTCTTCTTTCCCAAAGTCATATCCTTACATTCCCTATTCAAAACACAGTATTTGACAATTCGTAGGAAGTCAGAAATAAGCAACTTCTCGCAAAACCCCCCGCAGTCCCTAATTTCCGTCAAGCAATAGCCGCAAACGAACAAAAGTAAATCGCTCACTTAAAAAACGGGAATTGAAACTGTTAGTAATGTAATTCTAGCGCACAGAACCTAAAACTTCATTACTGGCTAAAAAAACTGCCATTCTCTGTTTATTCAAAAGCTTAAATTTTACATAAATCATCTTTACAGTCATAAAAATTACCTTTCTTCACAACAATATTCATGACCTACAACAACGATATTGCAAGTCCAATGGAACAATATTGTCTAAAATTATCAAAAAAACTGAAGTTTCATGAAGTTTTATTAAAATCCAACATTCCATGTAATAATCATTTTTGGACAGTAAAAGACCGTAAAACAAAATCAATAGAATAATCCCATTGAATAAACTCCATTCCTACATAATCTTTGAACTTTAAACTTTTGTTTTTCTATATTTTTAAGGAACTTGTACGTGCAAAACAAACAAGGCAAAAGAATAACAACGACTACACAAGATTCAACAGCGGTGGCTCGGTTACAAAACAAAAGACCGTCAACTAGAGATTTTTTTACTGTCATCTTCCTCAACTTCTTCAATAAATTTCCTTTTAGCAACACGCTTCTTAAAAACAGAAGGTTTTTTACGTCGAAAAGCTTCTGGTAGCTGTGCGTCCTCTATTTGATTCTCTTTGCCGGTATTACTGTAGCTTGATTCAGAACTGGAGTAGTCTTCATCTTTTACAACCGACAAATCAATTTCGACGTAAAGCTTGTCCTCCTAAAAATCAATTTCTTGTAAAAATAGAAGCAAAAATTATTTGAATTTGAATGATTCGTTATTACATCTGTAGAGCTTAAAAATCCAAGAATATGTTAAGTCATTAAACAATGCCTCTTCGTCTTCCTCATGACTTAAATCACTTCCTGCAGTTGAATCATCATCTGTTTCGACCACTTCGATGTGAAACCCTTCGTCAGAGCTTGAAGCCGACAAACACTCATTTGTAACTGCCACCTTTGAAACAAACGACCGAACCCTTTCCAAAACTGAGCTGGGTACAACGTGACTGGTCCTTCTGCCTGCTTCCACAAACTCTCTTGAATCGCCCAAACAAAACGCTGATGCTATAAAGAACAAATAATAACTGTTCGTTTTTATAAGATTGAAAGATTGACAGCAAAATACAAACAGTAAACCGGACGCTACATTAAATCCCTTTTTATACCCACAAGGCTTACGGATTTTTGTCTTCCTCGAGCTCCCCAACGTCAGACCATCCAGTGACATCGCAAGGCCCAATCCCCAAAGAAAAATAATGCTTCCAGGTACTGAAAAACTGAAAAAAGAAATCTCAGTGACACGCAAAGAAGACCCGCCTACAATATCTAGCCAAACCTAACGCATCAGGCCTCACTTCGACAAATAAACT